ACCGTAACGTTGCCGGAAAGTGATTGCTGTTGTTGGAATCTGCTTCAGGTCACGGTGAAGCTGACACCATAGCAACAGTAACTAAGAGGGGAGGGGTCTTAGGGAAGGCTCTGTTCATGAAGAGGAGAAGAAGAGGTGCCCGCGAGACGAGAGGAGATCGCGAGAATTTAAAGTGGCGCCAACAGACAGGGCCAAGGCAGCAGGAGACCTGCAGGACGTGGACCGGGACCACCACAACAACAACAACGGGACAATGGAGCAGAACCAGGACTTCTGTGATACCTCGATTAAAGAGGAGAAGCAGGACCTGGATCTCGAGGAGCAGGACAACCAGACTGCGATGAAGGAGGAGGACCAGGCCCCGGATTCAGTCGACCAGCACCACTGCCATGGCGGGATTAAGGAGGAGAGTTTTATCGAGCAGGACCACAAGATCGAGATTAAAGAGGAGAACCAGGACCCGTATTTCACCAACCAGGACCACGACAAGACCGAGACAAAGGAGGAGAACCAGAACCAGGGCGAGGACCACCAGAGCACCGAGCGCGCTGGTCCCAACGGGCGGCAGGTCGGTGTTCCGGACTCCCCGTCCATGTTTGATCCGTTTGTTTTTGTGGCATCAGCGGTGTTTGTTCATGTGGTTTCCGGTTTCATGTAGAAACGAGTCACGGTTAAATTGGTCCAACAACATGGCGTCTTTATACGTTTGTATTTCTCTGCCTCATAAAAACGAACCGTGTTGAAACACGGTCGAAGACTCATGGAACTTTGCACACGCGCCAGTCCAGGTGGAAATTTACATGTTTTATGGGTCTTTCTCGTGGGCGTGGCAAAATGACTCGACAGCGCCTCCTATGAATTTCAACTCCTCCTAGAGAATTAATCAGATCAACACCATATTTGTTCAGTCTCATCCTAAAATCATTGTGCTGTTAAATACAGAAGCTTTTGGGATTTCATTGAACATCCTGCTCACAGAGGCTCAACATATTTTGATATTTTGCCATGAAAAATGAACCTCTTATAACTCCAGAGCACATTGTCCAAACTGCCATGGACTTTATATGTTTGTCCTGGCCTGAAGACATCTATATACATCCAGTTATACTCATAGCGCCACCCAGGGGCGACAGGAAATATCATGTTTTGATTTACTCCTCTAGCAGGTTCAACACACACTTCGTTTTTATTCGAGGGTGTGTCTGTGAATTTTGCAGCAAGAAGTTGTAACTCTGTTATACACTGTCCAATCTGCCCCAAACGTCAGAAGATGTTTAAGACCCCAATGATCGTACACTGTGCCCGGCTCATTTATATAAACAAGACTTAAAAATATAAGCCAGGATTTTACTTCATCGTCTATGATGGAGTACGGCCCTGAGACCTGAGGTCTGATGTCCAATTACCCAACACCTGACCCGAGGCCCATCAGTGTAGCTTGTATAAGTATTTTGGTGCCACTGATGCTTTAGTCTGGGGATGTTAGAAAATTGAAATAGAATATATGGTTTTAGACAACTTGCTCCACCATTAGCTCTAATTCTCTCCCTCCATCTTTCTTTCTGTCTGTCTTTGTCACCATAGAAACGGAGACTCCCAAGGCCTCGTCAGATCAGACGTCCTCAAATTTCACAGTTACCTCGCCAACGTAAGTCCAACCATGACCACCACCACTACTGCTACGACTGCTACCACTCAGGCCCGGCGATGGGTGACAGTTATTTTCTTCATAAAATAAAGTTCATTGCTTTATCCACACAAGTCTCAGACAAGAGAAACAATAGACATGAGGCTGCACACTGACACCGGAGAGAGGCCACACAGCTCTGCTCAGTGTGGAGCAGCGTTTATCATGTCGGCAGGATATTTGCTGACTGTAATATCTGATCTATATTTTAGGTACGCAAAGGTCTGCAAGGAAGAGGAAGTTCCCAGATGACGGCGAGGAGGACGGGTGTGATTCAGAGAGCGAGAATAATGAAGACAACCTTTTAGATTAGTGAGTATCTAAAACTTCTAGTTTTTATTGTGATTGTATGTTTTAATTTAGTCTTTTATCAAGCTTGTAAACAAATGCAACTGGTGTTTTTTTCCTGTGTTGAGATTACACTTACAACTTCCTCTGTACATTTTTCTGCTGTTTTTATTTCATACTTTCTTTGTCAATATAACTACTTGCCTTATACCATAAAAGTCCATTTAAATTGAAATGTATATTTTGCCAACAATAGTGAGGATAGTGGTTCAGACTGGCAGCCTATGTCAAGTCTGCCCGCTCAGCGCAATACACTGAAGCGTCGACGCTCCTCTGCAGCCACCAGCACACCTGGACGTCCACGTGCTGCCAGGGGTGGTCGGGGGAAAGGTAAAAGAGGAAGACCACCAAGTGGACCACCAGACTCGAACACAAAGGTAAATGAGTCTCCAAATTTATGTTAAACAGTCAGAAAGAAAAGGCTCGCTGGATCACCAGAGAGCGTTTATACAAATATTCAACAAACAGTTGACCATTTCTTTAATATTTGAACATCTAACATTCAACTGATGTTCAACCATATATACAGATACAAATATTCAATCTGCAATTAGTAAACCCTTTAATGGGCAGGGGTAAATTAATTTGTTAATTTTTACGTTGATATTACAAAGAAGAGGTTAATGAAATCAATGTAGGATTGGTAAAGATGGTACTTCTATTTGTATTGTTGTGTTGAACTTGACACTGAGTTCGATTGTTAATGTCTAAGAATTTTGCTCTATGTAATTAAGTAACTGATGCTGTGGTTTGGGGATAATATAAAATCCATATAGTGTATATGGTTTCAGACGAAAAGCTCCACCATGAGATCTAATGCTCTTTCTCTCTGTATGTCTGTCTGTCACCATAGAAACGCAGGAAACGAGTGAACACTAAAGGGAAAGTTAACACTAAAGAGAAAGTTAAGACTAGAAGGAGGAGGCGTAACTGTGACCAGACTGTGATGCCTTCAGGTAACTGAAAACTCCACCAACACATTCACACTGCAGAGAGACCATACAACTGTGACCGATGTGGCGCAGTTTAACCTGGTCGATATAAAAGTTTAAAGTTGTGTCAATATTAAGAAGCTGCACATGGTTAAGATTGAGTAGATCTTCCACAACTCGACCGTTGGGTTTATTGTATAGGAACCGTAAGCACAGAAGTGTAATTCATTCAGATTTACTTGCATCTTAAAACCAGCGAGGTGGCAAAACAGTGGCGATTCACCACCTTTGAAGCAGTGGTGTTGTCTGATCTTCATTCTATCCCTTGGGCTGGGCAATTAATCTAATTTTAGTGAAGACGACACCTATTCCGAAAAGTCAATGATGATTTTCTGCCAGTCGTAGAATGTGCTGTTATTGATTATTGGCTTCGTCAGTCGTTCTCATTTGAAGTTCTCATTATAGTCAGGAACCTGTTCACCTTAGTAAAGGCTTGACTATGTGGTGACTGAAATGTGTTCTCTACATTTAGAAGTGCCTCAGTCTGCGCAGAAGAAGTTATCCACAGACAGCACTCTAATAATCGTTTCCTCTGACGACAGCGAGGACAGCGAGTACGATTCGGAGAGAGAGACCATGTTCGCCAACGGCATGGATAATGTTTTAGATCAGTGAGTATCTCAAATTATCTTTTAATTTTTGTTGTGATTGTATTTTTTCATGAATTTAATTTTGAGTTTCACTTCCTGTATATTTACTGTTTTGTATAAACTGTCTTTATCGAGCTTGTAAACAAAGACCTGGATTTTTTTTTCCTGCTTTGAGATGCATTACACTCTAGAAATGGAGACTTGTGAATGACTTGATATCACGGGATATTCTTACGATTCTTCTGTTCATGGAGGAAGCTGCTCAGCTTACTTCAACCACTCCCGCACAGAGTCGAGGATATAGTTGAAATGTGTGAGAGCAAGTTAGAATGAAATAAAAAACATAAACAAACAAACTCAGTGTGGCTGGAAAAGGAAGCAAACCAGAGCGGCCTGATTCCTTATATAGACAGATCTCCGTGGCGGTACAAGCAGGATTTAGAAACAAGTCATGTTGTGATTTTATATAAGGAATCATAACGCATTGGCTTTATGGAATTTTATTTGTTGATGTATTTTACTCTGATGCACCCTGACACAATACCTTATTACTGTATGTGCCTGAAGTACGCCCAGCAGCTTCCTTGTGTCTAGATTTACATAACTTTGTATTTTTGGAACCAATTTCAGTTGAATTGGATTTTTTGCCAATAATTGTATGGGTTTTTTTTCTAGGTCAGCGAGTGACTTCACTGACTCAGACTGTGAGCATGACGTTCTGGGAACCTCGTCCTCAGTTCGGCGCAGTAAGCAGAAGCGTAAACACTCCTCTGCTACAGCGACTGACTCGGGTGCTGCGGGTAGGAAAGGAAAATCACCCAGGTCATCGGCCTTGTCTCAGTTCAGCCACACAGACCAGCCGTGGAGAACTGTTGATGATGAGGATGTCGAGCCCGCCGCACTGGCCTTCATGCCCATCAGACCGCCGGGACCGCAGCAGGAAACCAGGCAAGCTCACACTCCACTAGATTTCTTCAAACTCTTTTTTACTGACGCCGTGTTCAGGTCTTTGTTGAAGAACACCAATGCATACGGTGCAAAGAAACAAGAAGGGAGTAAAACAGCGTGGCGCGACCTCACTGTCGATGACCTGTTCTCCTATCTTGCAATGGTGGTTTACATGGGCTTAGTGAAGTGCTCCGCCATGGTGGACTACTGGAAAGGATCCCGACTCTACAACTTCCCATTGCCGGCCTCCATCATATCACGGAATAAATTCTTGAACATTTGCCGAACTCTACACATCAGCAGCATTAAAGACGACGAGAAGAATGATGCCAAGAGGGGGACGCCAGAGTATGACCGTCTGTGCAAGATAAAGCCGCTCTACAATCAGATCGTCAAAGCCTGCAAGACGCACTTCCAACCCGGTCAGCACATTTCAATCGATGAGAGGATGGTGGCATCGAAGGCCAAAATCTCCATGAAGCAGTACATCCGGAACAAGCCCATGAAGTGGGGGTACAAGCTGTTCGTACTGGCCGATTCCAGTTGTGGCTACACGTGGAATTTCCATGTGTATGAGGGCAAGTCATCGGTCACTGGGAAAGGAATGAGCTACGACTCGGTGATGTCCCTCATGGAGTTCGATAACCTGGGTACAGGTTATCATCTCTATGTTGACAACTTCTACACCAGTACTCACCTTTTCCAGGACCTGTTGGCCAAAAAGGTCGGGGCCTGCGGCACTTTCCATCGAAACAGAGTCGGTTTCCCCAAGAACCAGGCCAACGATTTCACCAGGGACACCGCCAGAGGCACCATGAGGTGGATCAGGGACGGCGACCTGCTCTTTGTGAAGTGGATGGACACCCGAGAGGTCGCCATGTGTTCCACCATCCACAAGGCCTACAGCGGAGACGTCGTCCACAGACGAGTAAAGAGAGCGGGGAACTGGGTGAAAACCGACGTCCCTATTCCCGCCCCAGTCAGGGAGTACAACCAACACATGGGAGGGGTCGACCTGTCCGACGCTCTCATTGGGTATTACAGTGTCATACACAAGACCAGGAAGTGGTACCGGACCTTTTTCTACCACTTCCTGGACATAGCTGTGGTGAACGCCTACATTCTGTATACAAAATGTGAGAGCGCTCCCGCCATGACGCAGAAAGAATTCCGGCAGGCGCTCGTCGAGGAGCTCGCCAACAAAGGCTCTGTGTCCAGCTCTATACCTAAAAACTCCAGGTACATCGCCCCCTGTGGCCCAATGGCTCCACACAAGCTGCGCTACTTCACGGTCGGACAGAACATTCCCAAACGGGACGCGAGCACCGCCGGAAGAAGGTGCTGCGTGCTCTGCCACAGGAAGACGCCGGTTCACTGCGTCACCTGTGAAGTAGCCTTGTGTTTTGTGGCACAGAGGGACTGCTTCAACACCTGGCACACACAGAAGGGTCTGTAGGTGTGAGGCAGCTTTCAGGAGGTCTGACAACCTGATGCCCCCGCCGGCACATCAACACTGGAGAGAAAACGCACAGCTGTGACGAACACACGCCAAGGCAACGAAATGAGCATTGACATGCTCACACTGGATGATAAAGACTTTACTGGTGTGATCCATGTGGAAAAACGTCCACAAACAAATCTGAGTGAACGGAGCGGAGGCTCGCAGCAGCCGAAGCTTTTCCAGCTTGAAATGAGACATTTCCTGGACGTCGCCACTGTCGCCTCCTTCCTGCTCGAGAGAATTTACAGACTGTAGATTGAACCACCCGCTTCTCCGTCCACCGTCCTGCTGCAGCTGTAATGACAGGTGCAGCCCTCAGACATCAGTGTGTGGTCTGTACAACAGTCACTGATCGGCTGCAGCACCAGAACACTGCGTCATTGCAGCAGAGAGCTGCCGTGGCGACTGGCACAGAAACAGATTTAATCGAGCTCATTTCTGAGTTACTGAGTCAAGGAAAAACTCCAAACATTTCCTGGTTCAGTGGAATCAGATGAAGATTTGCTGCTTTCCTGCTCTCATGTACTTTTATATGTGCAGTACCTCGGTGCTGTCGGAAGAATGAAACACACCTGACCTCAAAACTTTGGACTCTGGGAAACTACATGAGACATTTTTCACCGTTGTAGCAGCTGAAGCCGACTTTATACTTTCCTTTTTTTAATCCCTGTTTTCTATAAAGAATGAAGTGCTCTTCCTACTACACTACATGATTTAGTTCTTTTTAGTAACATCATCATTGTACTGAATGTTTGATCTGTTCTGATATATAGTAGTGATAGAGTTTTTATTCAAGAAGCCAGTGTTCTCAGTGACTAACTCTGATTCCTGACCTCGGTCTGAGAGACTGGACTTCACTGTTTGTTGGTCTTTAAGTTGTTTTTATTTTTGAGACAAACTTGGACTAAACTTTAATTTGTTCTATTTTTCAGACACTGAACTTTTCTGACCTTTTATTCTGCATGAAATATTCTTCATGGTTTACTCAATAAATTTGTCAAAGTGAATGGAGGTCTCTGCTTCTTCTTTCACAAGATAAAAACATTTATTAGATCATCTCCCTCCCACTGCACCCATCAGGCCCCCCCCCCCCTTTGGTCTGACTCTAAATCCACCCTGTTTTTATTTTAAATTTTGTCTCTCTTCTTACGTTTCCTCCTCCATCCACACAACTCCCCGACAACAGAGTTTGGAAACTGCTGGACCCGTTTTAATTCAAAAACTCTGGGGTTGTGTTTTATTCTGAAAGCTCTGGGGTTGTGTTTTATTCTGAAAGCTCTGGGGTTGTGTTGTAGTCTGGACAGAAACTGAGACCTTTGTAAACGATGAGGTCACAGCCACGGTCTCTCCTGATTGGCTGCCATCAGCCTGGACTACCAGTGGTGAATACACCATGATGATGAATGACAGAGTTACTGACCTTGTTGTCTTTGCAGCTGTTGTTCACTTACATTCTCTGTTTCAATGCTACAGCTGTCTCTGCTGTTCCTCCTTCAGAGGAGACAATCTACTTCCTGTTTACACCAGCTCGCACATGCTCAGTGTAGGTGTGTGTGTTGGTCTGGACGGAGATCGATTTCATTTTAAAATGAAAGTGTAATTGTGTGTGTTTCAGTCATTTAACTTACATTAGGAGACGACACAGAAGCTGTTTCATAGTTTAACGGAGAACTAATTATCGAGTGCAGCTGGAGTTCAGATCTCACTCAGATCAAAACGTTCTCCGTTAAACTATGAAACAGCTTCTGTGTCGTCTCCTAATGTTCCTCCATGTCATCAATGAAACTGATTCACCTTTCCCTGAATGATGTCATTTGTCGGCAATTTCAATGACTGATAGATTGTATTGAATTCAGTGTTAAACACTGTGCCTGTTATTGTGCAGCAGCTGTGGGAAATACCGTTTTGATTTCATTGATATAGCACCAAATGATTACATGCAGTTTACAGAGAAGGAGGAAGAAACCTGCAGCATGTTGGATCAGCTCGAGGCTTTTCACTCAGTTATTGGGACGTCCTGATAATAAAAGTTTTATTTCTTTAGGTTTTCAGCTTCGTTTTGAGACAGGAAGAAGGCTGAAGTAAAAGACACGACCTGGTCAACAGTGACCCGAAGGTAATGTCATCCTGAGCAAGTATATAATCGGATCATGTGTTTCTGAGGTGTTCAGGGCCGAGTACAAAAACTTCTGTGGTCATGATGTTTCTTGAACAAGGAAACACGTCCGCCTACATCCTGGAAACCATTGTTGACTTGGTGTGCTCCTTGGTCGACCAGCTCTTTGCCATTTTCCAGTTTTCTTGTACATACCTGCTTTTTTTTTTAACATACTGAGTGAGCAGAGCAACTACTTTTTATATCTGATGGTCAGCTGATGAATTGAAGTCTAAGTTGGCGTGGGCCTGCAAAGGAAGGTGAGAGTATAAACTTTAAGGTCATTTGATTATATTATTATATTATATTATATTATATTATTACTGGAAGTAACATTAAAAGTTCAAGTTAAAAGTATTTCTGATCAATCATGATAGAAAACAACAAAGAAAAACATTAAAATACTGTATAATGACAGTTTAATTTTCCACAATAAAACAAAAGTGAAATTAACAAAGACAACAGAATGGGCTGGACAATGGTTCAGTATCATGAAATACCAACGAATTATAGTAACAATATGATCATGTATTTACGTCTTTCAGTTATTATGACAAAGTAAAACAAACAAGGAAAGATAATAATGGATAATATACAATTATTATGTTGTTTACTAATAACTAAGTAACTTTATTTATTTCTCAATATAAAAACAAATATTTTATAGGAAGACATTGAGACATTTAATTACCTTTTTGACTGATTATGATCAGAAGGTTTTTATTAATGTTCATGGATATAAATTAATGAGTGTTTACCAATCAAATGCGAAATTCTCAAATTATTTTATACCTCAATGTAAAAAAATGTTTTTGTAAGACTTTTAATTTAAAGACATTGAATTGATTAATTCTGAATTATCAGAAGGTTCATCCATCATCATTAATGTTAATGGATATAAATGAATGGGAGTGGTTGTCAATCTTTGACGGGCAATATAGCTGAGATTACTAACGTGTTGTAACAGCGGAACCAACGTTTTTGTTCTATGTTTCACCAGGACGTTATTACACTCCGGGACTTCCTGTTTTCATCCTGCACCGTAAAGACTGCGGGTTGGTCGAGCTCTGTTCTGATAATCGGGCCTTTCCAGGTAAGTTTTACATGATACAGTGAATGAGACCGTGACTTTACGTTTTTCCGAGGCGGTTTTATATTTTTGAAACAACTTCCTGTTTCGCTGCGTCGGAAAAGAGGAACTAACTAGCATTAGCTCGGCGGCGGAAGCTAACGTAGCTAGCTGACGCTGTTCTTTGACAACAGACGTAACGAACCATCCACGACGTAAATCAAACAGAGGCCGGTGTCTTCGTTCTTAAACGGATTTAAGAGCTTTAACTTTAAGGTTTAAGTTTCTCTCTAGTGATTTGACATTTTATTTGCGCCTGTAACCGGTCGTAACTTGTTGCATTAGCTTAAATGTGTTTTAGGGGACTTCCGGTGTTTTATCGAAGTCTGTGTTTCCCGTTGCGCCCCCTCTCGGTGGTTCGGGTTAGGATCAAGTTATTGTCAGACGACACGCATCTTGACAGAGGTGTTTAGTTCATTTGCTTCTCTGATTTGTTTTGAGGGATCTGATTTAAGATAAAAGAGAAATTAATTAATAATAATAGTAATAATACATTTTATTTGGCAGTGCCTTTCACAGCACTCAGGGACACTTTACAGAAGATTAAAAATAATAAAAACAACAGACAGCTAAACAGAAAACAATGAAAATTAGATCATTTACAGCTTTATTACATCATTCAATTTCATCAACTCCCTTTTCCTGTTTAATTAAAATATAAGTCTTAGTTTTACTGTAGAACACAGGAATGTTCTTAAAGGAACCAATGTAGAACATTTGTTTGATTCCCTCAACCAGGACCACTACAAGACCGGGATGAAGGAGGAGAACCAGGACCCGGACTTCACCGACCAGGACCACTACAAGACCAGGATGAAGGAGGAGAACCAGGACCCGGACTTCACGGAACAGGACCACTACAAGACCAGGATGAAAGAGGAGAACCAGGACCAGAATTTCATCAACCAGGACCATTACAAGGCCGGGATAAAAGAAGAGAACCAGGATCCAGATTTTGTCAACCAGGACCACTACAACAGTGGGATAATGGAGGGAAACCAGGATCCTGATTTCATTAACCAGGACTATTACAAGATTGTGATTAAGGAGGAGAACCAGGATCCAGATTTCATAGACTACGACCACTACAAGACTGGGATGAAGGAGGAGAACCAGGACCCGGATTTCTTAGACCAGGACCACTACAAGACCGGGACGTTGGAGGAGAACCAGGACGCGGACCACCAGAGCAACAAGCCCGTTGGTCCCACCGGTCTGCAGGTCAGTGTTCAGGACTTGATGGATAAAAACAGCTTGAGGATTCATGTTTGACCTTTTCATTTAAGTTCATTTTATTTTGACAAAAACATCATCCAACACATAATGTTCAAAGCTGTAGGTTTAACCTGACAACTGCAACATGATGTACATATTTAAAAGATGAGCTCAGTAGTGAAACTCCATAAGAAGTTTCTATTAAACTGTAGGAGTCGAAGTCATAACTGTCAGTGCCCTTATTTACTGGCGGTTCTCCTAACTCTAAGTACTACTGTGATTATCACTCAGACTTCAGGAACCAGGTATCAGACTTTAGGCATTAAAACTGTCAGATATGCTTTTCAACAAGCAGGAAGTATTAAGTTTTCCAGACTGGTCAACGCAGTCAACTTCACTTCCCTAAGTGATCAGTAAAATAAAAAAACACTAAGATTTGATACCTGAGCTGTGACTCCGACTCCCTGACATGAGACCGGAGACCTGATGATACGCCCTGAACTATGTTTGGTCTAAGAAATGATGCAGTTTGATCTGATGTCTGAGAGCTGACGCTTTAGTCTGTGGATGTTCTAAAAGTATTTGTTATAGACAACTCCATCATGAGATCTAACTCTTCCCCCTCTCTCTTTCTTCATGTCTGTCACCATAGAAACAGAGATGCACAAAGACTCAGAAGAGAGTTCGCACTAACGAGAAGCAGCACAGCTGCGACCACTGTGGGAATACTTTCACATCTTCAGGTAATTTAAAAACCCACCGCAGGATTCACACTGGAGAGAAACCGTACAGCTGTGACCAATGTGGGAACTGTTTTACAACATCAAGTCATTTAAAAACCCACCAATGGATTCACACTGGAGAGAAACCCTACAGCTGTGAATACTGTGGGAACACCTTCACAGCTATAAGTAGTTTAAAAAACCACCAGCGCATTCACACTGGAGAGAAACCGTACAGCTGCAGTCAATGTGAGGCAACTTTTAGTAGGTTATATCACCTGAAGTCCCACTTACACATTCACTCTGAAGAAAAACCGTACAGCTGTGACACATGTGGGAAAGTTTTCTCTCTGGCAGATCGTTTAAAAAGGCATCAACTAGTTCACACTGGAGAGAAACCACACAGCTGTGACCAGTGTGGGAAGTCTTTCATGAAGTTAAGTAATCTGAAAGTCCATCAGCGTGTTCACCTCGGAGAGAAACCTTACTGGTGTGATCAGTGTGGGAATAGTTTTACTAGTTTAAGTAATTTAAAAACTCACCAACGCATCCACACTGGAGAAAAGCCGTACAGCTGTGATCAGTGTGGGAAAGCTTTCATGACTTCCTGCAGTTTAAAACGTCACCAACGCATTCACTCAAGGGAGAGACCGTACAGCTGCGACCAGTGTGGGAAAGCTTATGTGACTCTGAAGGAGCTGCACACTCACCAACACCTTCACAGTGGAGAGAGGCCGTACAGCTGTGACCTGTGTGGAAAGACTTTTGCAACTGTAAGTAGATTGAAGCCTCACAAACGTATTCACACTGGAGAGAAACCGCACAGCTGTGACACATGTGGCAGAGCTTTTGTGACTTTAAGTCAATTAAAATCCCACAGACGCATTCATACTGGAGAGAAACCGTACGTCTGTGATCAGTGTGGCAAAGCCTTTTCCTCTTCAAGCCAATGTATCGTCCACCAGCGCGTCCACACCGGAGAGAAGCCGTACAGCTGTGACCAGTGTGCAGCAGTTTTCTCACAGTCCGGGGATCTAAGAAACCACCAGCGGAGTCACACGGGAGAGAAGCCGTTCATTTGTGATAAATGTGGGAAAGCTTTCAGCAGGTCGACCAGTCTGAAAATCCACCAACGTGTCCATGTTAGTTAGAAACACTCAGCACCAGTTCAGCTGCTTTCTCCTGCCTGATGTCTTTTAGCAATAAATGTGTTCAGATATAAAAAACCTGTGAATTCACTGGTGTTTAGGATGTAAAACACATTTCTCCAACCCTGTAAAGAGACACATGAGTATGACAAGCTCTGATTGGTTGGTAGGTTTCTTGATAAAAACAGAAATTTTGTCAAAGCTTTTTGAAAAGTTGTGATTTTGTTTTGCTGTCTGAAACCTTGGACCGGTCAACCTCAAAATGTAAACAGCTTGTAAGAGACTATGATGTTCACAAAGGTGCTGAACCCAACTCACTGTATTATCCCAGTAACTTACAGACTGCTCTTTCTGTTCATAATTCATCTCCTGGTTGTTTGTGTTTGAATGCAGCATTTTCACTCAACAACCTTTTATTGTCTCTCTTCTTACGATTCACTCGGACTTTCCAAACTGACGTGAGCTGATGGCAGAGGGAGTCACTACATCTGACAGTGGGAGCAGAACTTAGAACAGATGTCCTGGTTTAAAAATGAAACATTGATCATTTTCAAATTGTTTGACTATTCATATTTTAGAGTTTTCAACAAAATACAAAATGGCGTCCAATGTAACACAATTGAAAAGGAATAAAAAGCTTTTACTACAATATGAAATGACATCTGTCTCAGTAGGAATTAAACTTTAAAATATAAACGTGAGTAAAACCAACAAAGACAAAAAGGAAAGTGATTTGTATTTTGACCCGCTGTCATAAAAAATGCATTTCCATGGCGAATGGCTGTCACCAGAAACTGACCATAATCTGTGTCAGTGGTTTTTGGTTTATGCTTCTTAGGCAGATACGACTCTTTACTAATATCAGAGTTATTGGTGTAATTATAAGTTATGGATGTTACATGTTAAAATAATAAGAGGTGTAATTACTAACACCACTGACAGCGACCGACTCTGTCTCAGACGCTAACAGCTAAATGAAGCTGGTAACTGACACGAACCACAGCCGGACTGATACAGAATTTATAAGGGAAATGTTGAGTTTGATATTGTGATATAAAAACTGATAATGTATCAGCCAATGAGATGTGGGGAGTGTCTGAATCAGCTGTCTCTTTCACAATGCGCACATGTTTATTTCAGTCTAATCCCTCCAGTTGAACCAGTTCAGTCCAGCTGTTGTGACCTGTGATGGTTTTAATGGGGTGTTAGTTCTGAAAAGAGTTTTCCATAAGGAGTGAAATGTCTTCCTAATACACTACAAGCTTTGGTCTTATTTAGTAACATAGTCATTGTTTTGATGTGTTTGATTCTTGTGATAGTTGCCTTTATAGTGACTGTAAGTTTTTCATCAGAAAGACAGTGTCAGTGTGAGTAACTCTGATTCCTGACCTCTGTCTGATTCCCCTTAACGCCCACATTATCAAGCATAATCAGGTTTTTTAAAACACGCTCTGCCGGTGGAGTTTGTCTTTCTGTTCGGACCGTGGACAGTGGTTGTGTTTTAGAAATTAATTTAGAGTCTGCAGCGTCACGCTTTCATCCTTAAAGGGATAGTTGGGGTTGTGTGAGGTTGTCGTGTATAGTCAGTGTGTTTAGAGGAGCAGCAGGAGCATCTGTACACTAGCAGAGAGAGGAGCTGCTGTGGGCGGGGCTATATATATATCCACCAGGAAGATCCAATATCTGTTCAAATGAAGCTTCATGTGGAATATTTTCAGCTCTTTATCTTACTGTCAAAACAAAGAAGTTTAGCTCCTCTGATTCACTCAGCTGAGCTGCGTCTGCGTCTGCGGCTGCGGCTGCGTCTGCGGCTGCGGCGTAATACCGTGCGTTCTGTAAGTGCGCTCTTTCAGCTGATGAGGAAAATGTACCAAAGGAAAGTGCTGTTCTTACAGGAAGATAAAGAGCTGAAAATATTCTATCCAGTGGAAAAGGAGCTTCAGAGAACTGGAGTCAACTTTAAGTCTTTTTCTTTTTGAGACACATCAAATATTGATTCTGTGTTTTACTCAATAAATCTGTAAAAATGAACAGAGGTCTCTGCTTCTTCTTTCACTCGTAGTAACGACAAGTCACAAAACATACTTCTTTTTTTTTAAATCATGAACTTTCTAACAGTGCACCCATCAGGTTGTACTGTCCCTCCTCCACCCGGTCTACATGTAAGTCACTGCTGTAGTCTCAAACACGTGCTGCTGATGAAACTGAAGTCCCTCCTGGCAGCAGCATGACATCAGGACTGTTTCATAGCTGCTGGGACGCCTGAGTGAGATCTGACCTCCAGCTGCACTGAATTATTAGTTTTCCATAAAAGTACAAAACATTCCTCCACGTCATCATCAACTGACTCACATACTAAATATCCATGTGTTGATGGAGAGTGTTTTCCTTTCTTCTAACGACCTAGTCGCCAACATCAGTAACAAGATTGTATTTCCCACAGCTGACAAAACAGTCCCACGTTAACATGGAAAGCTGCAGCTTAAACAATCTCATTTCTCTTCTACAGATTGCTATTTTAGTTGTTTCTTAATTTAAGACTCAAGACTAAAAAGAAAGACTTTTAATTACACTTTTTGTCTATTTGTCAAAACTGAGTAACTGAGTGTCAATAGAAATTCTAACCACATTTACTGAGGTGTCTTCAGGATTGGTGGAGCAAATGGTGAATTCCCAAATTATTTTATTTCTCATTATAAAAACACATTTATTTTTATCTTAAAAAAAGCAAGATCTTTAATTTGACTATTATGTTTTTGAATGATATTAATAACTAAGAAAGATTCATTCAGGATCATTAATGTTTATGGATATGAATTTTTGAGAGTGGTTATCAATCTTTGACATGCAATATAGCTGAGATTTCTAACCGTGTCACAGAACTTGTAACAACGGAAACAATGTTCCTTTTCCATGTTTCACCCGGACACTGTATTTTGTCGGGACTTCCTGTTTTCATCCTGCACCGTAAAGACTGCGGGTTGGTCGAGCTCTGTTCTGATAATCGGGCCTTTCCAGGTAAGTTTTACATGATACAGTGAATGAGACTGTGACTTTACATTTTTTCCGAGGCGGTTTTATATTTTTGAAACAACTTCCTGTTTCGCTGCGTCAGAAAAGAGGAACTAACTAGCATTAGCTCGGCGGGCGGAAGCTAACGTAGCTAGCTGACACTGTTCTTTGACAACAGACGTAACGAACCATCCAGATGTCTTCGTTGTTAAACGGATTTAGATTTAAATTCCATGTCAAAGTTTTTCTCTTCAGCGATTTGACGTTTTATTTGCGCCTGTAACCGGTCGTAACTTGCTGCATTAGCTTAAATGTATGTTACTGGACTTCCGGCGTCTGTCGATGAACTTTAATTTGCTTCCTGTGTTCGTGTATCTTTATTTCTGAGGTTGATGTTGTTCAGGTACGAAGTTAAGTCGTTTATTAAGTGCACAACAACAATCACACGCAGCAGTGATTGTTCCCGCCTGTGTTTGTGTCTGTTATGGTCGTCAGCTGATCTGACGAGTGTTCAGTGAGAGTTCAGAGTCCGGTCCAAACACACAGGGGCTCGGTCCACCTTCCTTATGGGGGGATACAGGATGGGGTCAGGGATGACTCCACCCACAACCCCCACTTAGTCTTATTAGGACTCTTATGAACACTTTAAGTTCTATGCTTGTGAAAGTTGTGCTGTATACAGTGGAAAACTAATTGTTCTTTGAGATGTCATAATTATCTATGTATATATATGTATGACCCCCCCCCCACACACACACACACACACACACACCCTCCTTTACACATCTGTATTTAACCCCGCCCATGTTTAGATTTTACTGAAAGAAGCAATGTGGTTTTCTATTCTCTGATAACGAAGAATGAAACATATAGAAGAACAGGTTCATGACATCATTCAATTTCATCAACTCCTTTTTCCTGTTTAATTAAAATATAAGTCTTAGTTTTACTGTAGAACACAGGAATGTTCTAAAAGGAACCAATGTAGAACATTTCTGTTTGATTTCCTCAACCAGGACCACTACAAGACCGGGATGAAGGAGGAGAACCAGGACCCGGATTTCATTGACCATGACCAAGAGAATACCGGCATAAAGGAGGAGAACCAGGATCCAGATTTCATCGATCAGGACCTCTTCAAGACCGGGATGAAAGAGGAGAACCAGGATCCAGATTTCATTGAAAATGACCAAGAGAATACCAGCGTAAAGGAGGAGGACCAGGACCCGGATTTTGTTGACCAGGGCCACTACAAGATTGTGATTAAGGAGGAGAACCAAGATCCAGATTTCATCGATGAGGACCACTACGAGACTGCGGTTAAAGAGGAACACCAGGACCCAGATTTCAGCGACCCTGACCAGGAGAAGGTCGGCATAAAGGAGGAGAACCAGGATCCAGATTTTAACGACCAGACCGGGACGACGGAGGAGAACCAGGAGCATCGGAGCCTGGAGGCTGCTGGTCCTGCCGGTCTACAGGTCAGTGTTCAGGACTCGATGGAGGGTCCGTGTTTGATCCGTTGGTTTTTGTGGCATCAGAAATACAAAGTGTTTGTGTTGGTCTGTTTTCCCGGGCTCATGTTGAAACGAGTCACCAGCTTCAGACAGAAAACACAGTCCTGAAGCAGCTCCACTCTTCACACACAACATGGCGGGAACACAGGAGCTACCTGAGCTCACTCACTTACATTTATATTTGGTTTTGACTGTAGTGGAGTTCTGAGTTGTGTCACATGTCGTGTATGAACAATAAACACAGATCAGTTTCTAATGAAAGTCACAGAGACAAAGAAGACGAGCTGAGGACTTTTCAGGAGAAAGAGACTCATGTTTTCTTTTGGTCATCGATCCAAATCTTTGTTTCACTGTAAAACCATAACGTCCATCAAACCTGTGATTCCAGGAAAATGCACATTGAAACTAGAGCTGCAACAAGTGTCAATTCACTGTCTCTTCAACCACTTAGTTATCTCCTTTTATATTGTGTATAGTATCTCTGTTTTATCTTATTTATTTTACATTTCTTATTTCTTTTTGTTGCTGTTTTTCTTTTGTGCTGCTGTGTCAAATTTGAATTTCCTCAACAATTAAGTTCAATGAAGTTACATCTTAGAAAATGAATAGGCAACTCTATTTAGCGCTTAATAGATCGTTAATAATTTGTAGCATGAATTCAAATTCATCGTTTCAGCCTCAATAGATTTTATTTCTGCGTCTATGTCTCTTATGTGACATTAACAAAATATTTGGACAGTTGGTTGGACAAAAGCAATTTGGAGGCATCTGTAGGAAAGTGTGATGCTGTTTCTACCTGTGCCAAGAGGTTACTTGTTGGTTTGTTTCCTTGTTAGCAGAAGTATGTAAAAAGTATGAATTGATTTGAACCAAACTTGGTGGAGGGATTGATCAGGGAAGAGCACATTAAATCTAGGTGACAATGTGGATCCAGGATTATTTTTTACGACTTTCCTAAACATTGTTAGAGGCTTTTTTAACTCAGGATTTTAATCTTCTCATCAGTCATTATAATGTGTCTTTGGGAGAGGTTTGTGCTCCACTGAGTGTCATCTTAGTTCACTGGCTTTTGCATTAAAGGAGCTTTTTATAAGTCTTGCTGTTGCTACATCGCTAACATTAGCAGCTGTTTATTTACCAGTGTAGAAGAAACGTGAGATCAGCATCAAACTTCATTCCTTTACTCACCAACACAGATTAAAATGAACTAGTTCATTTCTTTCTTTTTCTTAATGTCCTCCTCTGAGCTCTTGTATTTCAGTAGAACCTCCTCTTACTCATCCAGCGCAGCCCCCAGTCACCCCCCCTACAATCACCACTCCACTGACTAAATGAGTTATTGTATAGTACTGTAAAAACTACGGATACAGATTACTTTTAAAAACAAAGAGACAACAATGTGATTATATGTGATTATGCTTTACCACTCCATGAGATCTAACTCTCTCCCTCCCTCTCTCTTTCTGTCCATCACTATAGAAACAGAGACGCACAAAGACTCGTCAGAGAGTTCACGCTAAAGAGAAGCAGCACAGCTGTGACCAGTGTGGGAAGACTTTCACATCTTCGAGTCATTTAAATACCCACCACAAATTCATTCACTGTGGAGAGAAACCGTACAGCTGTGACAGCTGTGGGAAATCTTTCTCTGTGGCATATCGCTTAAGAAGACACCAACTAATTCACACTGGAGAGAAACCGCACAGCTGTGAGCAGTGTGGGAAGTCTTTTTTGAAATTAGGCAATTTAAAAGTCCATCAGCGTGTTCACCTCGGAGAGAAGCCTTACTGGTGTGATCAGTGTGGGAATAGTTTTACAAATTCAGGTAATTTGAAAGCTCATCAACGCATCCACACTGGAGAGAAGCCGTACAGCTGTGATCAGTGTGGGAAAGCTTTCATGACTTCCTGTAGTTTAAAACGTCACCAGCGCATTCACACTGGGGAGAGACCGTACAGCTGCGACCAGTGTGGGAAAGCTTTCGTGTCATCAAGTAAGTTACACATCCACCAACGCCTCCACACAGGGGAGAAACCATATAGTTGTGATTTATGCGGTAAAGCGTTTGTAAGTTTAAGTAGATTAAAACCTCACCGACGTATTCACACTGGAGAGAAGCCGTACAGCTGTGACATATGCGGAAAAGCTTTTGTGACTTTAAGTCAAGTGAAACCCCACCGACGTATTCACACAGGAGAGAAACCGTACAGCTGTGATCAGTGTGGCAAAGCTTTTGGTTCCTCAAGTCAATATACAGTCCACCAACGCATCCACACTGGAGAGAAACCGTACAGCTGTGACCAGTGTGGCGCTGTTTTCTCACAGTCAGGGGATCTAAAAAACCACCAGAGGATTCACACTGGAGAGAAACCATATGTTTGTGATAAGTGTGGGAAAGCATTCGGTAGATCGAGTATCCTGAAAATCCACCAACGTGTCCATGCCAGTTAGAAACACAAGCTAACTGTTTTCTCCTGCCTTATGTCGGTTGTGCTAGCTGTGTCCTGACTCACCAAGATTAACAATAATCCTCATAACTCAATGTCAGAGAAAGTAAATTGTGTTTCACTGATACTGTTAACTGTTAAGAAAGACCTGTGAGGATATTATGGCTGCTCATCAGTTGACCAGGTTTTGAGTGCAGGTTGTTTGTAGGAGTAAAAGTCAAACTGTTCCCTGCTGTTATTGGATAGTGATGTAACTGAGCGTCTTGAGTTAACTTAACTTTAAAACGTTTCTGTTAGTAGGTGAATATGTTGTTCATCAGGATTCAACCCCTGTCACTTCATTTTTCCAGTAATTATAAGTGGTTGCACTTAATATTCACTAAAATGTAGTCCATTCTATGTTTGGGTTCGAACATAACGTTTTGATTAAATGTTCTAACGCTAACCACAGGAAAGTTCTGATTGGTTTTTCATACATATATATATATGTAAAATATTTTTCATTAAATAAATTAAAAATTGATACTTTGGGATCAATATGTTTTGGCAGAAATATAAAAACTCAAAATTGTCAGACAGGCCTTATTACATTTGTATTGTTTTTATTTCAAAGGCTCATATTAGGTTTTTTAAATTTCTCTGTAATGAAGCACAGTGTTAACAACATTATTTATAACATTCTGTCTCAGCTTTGGAAAAATATTTATTTGTATAATTAATATTATAAATGTGTGACGATTACTCGACTAATGGCTTGAACTAACGATTCCCAGTCATCTAGGACAGTCTTTGATCGGGGGCCCTGCAGTATACAGTATAGTTCTTAAGTGTAGAAGTACACATTTCTGAAAATTTTAACAGGAGCAAAATTGTGAACAGGTGTTCTGGCCGAAAAGTGAAATTTTTTGAAAATTAGAAAGTACTTATTGATTAAAGAAATTACCTTTTTGTCTTCACTTGTGAGACATTTGTGCTAAAATAAGGAATTACATTTGTAAATGAAATAAAAAAACATGAGTAAAACTAATTTGAAAGTCAAAAAGGAAAACACTAATAAAAAATGCATGTCTACAGTTAATACCTAACACACAAAAAATAAGCTCACTATGGGTAAACAGTTTTGAATTTTTCAGATGGAACGTTCTCCCTAGATCAGTTATTGATATAATCTTAAGATGTTTTAGCTACCTCACATTACCTGTCAAAAATCAGTTGGTGTCTTCTGGCAGAGATGTAACCATCAGCCGGTAGTTACTAAACGAAGCTGGCAACAGTGTGCTACGAATCAGAGCCCGACTGATCTAGGATATTTAAGGGAAATATTGATTTTGATATCTGCAGATGAGGCATAGGGAGTGTCTGAATCAGATGTCACAGTGTGCACCTTTATTTCACTCTGATAATCCCTCTAATATTACCAGTTCTATACAGCTGTTTCAAATGTGATGGTCAGAATTTAAAGACAAACCACTGATTTACAAAGCACTGACAGTAACTGAACTGAGTTTCAGGTCTTACGTCATCAATAATGTTACATGCTAATGGTTCGTTAGCTGTTTCATACTGACGAGCCATGGTAATATCTAGCTTTGTGGCTAATTAGTTCAGCAACAGACTCCAAGTCTCTTCAGCTGAGCTGTGATACGTTTGGTGGATTAAGAGGGATTAGCATGTTGCTAACTGCTACTACAAATGTAACATGTAATACTCTGTACCTGTTGTAGTAAAACCAAAGGAAGAAGTGCATTCCTGTTCGTCAACACTTTGGACTGCATTGGAAGTGAATGAAGTTCTCTTCCTAATACGCAACATGTTTTTAGTAAAAGTCATTGTGCTGTATGTTTGAATTGTTCTGATCGTGTAAAGTTTCCTTCATAGTGATACTGTTGATATGGTCAGTATGAGTAATGATCCAGGCTTCTGTCTGAGAGACTGGACTCAGCTGTACTTTAGTCTTTAAACGTTTTATTTGTGAGAAAATGGACTTTTCTGACTTTTATTTCAGTGATTTACCCAATAAATCAGTCAAAATGAACAAATGTCTCTGCTCCGTTCTTAATCTTATCTTGTGACTTGTTGTTACTACTAATATTTTTCAAATCATCAAATTTCCAACACTGTGCTGCCCTTCCCCCACCACTCTGCATTTAGCCCACCACTTTAGTCTGAGGGGAAATCAGACTCATGTTTAAAGATTATTATTAAATTCAATGAGTTAACTGTATCAAACAACATGTACCTGAGGAGGGCGGGGCTTAGTGAAGGGTCAGCTTCTAACCAGACTCAATGTAAGTTCAATTCTGGTATCAACTGTGCAGTTTCAGACTTTACAATGACTTTTTAATTTTATTTAAGCCTTGTTATAATAACTTTTTATGCCATGCTACCCTATGACTTTTTTTTTACTTTTTATGCCATGCTATTTTATGACTTTTTTTATGACTTTTTATGCCTTGCTATACTATGACTTTTTTATGACTTTTTATGCCATACTATTTTATGACTTTTTTTATGACTTTTTATGCCTTGCTTTACTATGACTTTTTTATGACTTTTTATGCCATGCTATACTATGACTTTTTATGCCATGCTATACCATGACTTTATGACTTTTTATGCCATGCTATATTATGACATTTTATGACTTTTTATGCCATGCTATACTATGACTTTTTTATGACTT